TTTCTCAGCAGAACATCGGTCGAGTTTGTTGGTTCCATTCTGTCAACAAACTTTTTTCTCCTCCGTTATATTTTCCTACGCTCAGAATAAATCCCTGGGTGACTGGGTCCCCGGTCGGTTGCTCCTCATACGAAAAGAAGAACGCGACGAGGGACCCGCAGAAGTTTGTATTCATTAGGTCCGCTGACCGAGCCTGACCCGCGGAGCCGACAACGACACGAATTGGCGAAGCATTATGGAGGCGTTGTGAACACGACGACAGCCGACCGACATCCAGAAGACGCGGTCTTGTTCGACGACGAGGGCTGGATCGAACGGACAGGAAAAACCGCTGCCCGTCGAGACCAGTGAAGTTGAATGTAGCAGCGACCAGCATCTTCATTTTTAACACGCGAGCGCACAAGCGACCGGAAACCAATGCGTATCATAATTTACGAGCATCGGGAGGAACGACGTCGCTCGCTCGGAGACGCGATCGGACATGATCTGGCGTCGGTCTCTCCAGGAACCATCGTTGTCATATCTTCGACATAACCGGTACTGGATTCCAAAATACTGATGAGATTCGAATTCCGTCAGACCTCGTCTTCGAACGATAATAGTTTCCTGAACTAATCATGAGACCTAAAAACTCAACAACTCGGAGTGTCGATCCATGTCGCGTGGATATAACCGTTGTCGCTGAAAAATTCATCGTTCAGAAAACTTAACAGAGCACCTCTATTCAGAAGCCGTCACCGGGGTCGAACGTGCTTCCCACCGTAAATAATACTTGCGCCTCGACGTACGGACGAGAGCGAAGGAAGATCGGAGCGAAGCCGACGACGACTCGGACGATCGTCGGCGATCGGTAATCGATTATAGATCAAAACGTGGCGTCAGCCAACTGCCAAAGGAAAGGAAAGCTGCTGAGCCTGCGAAATCCAGTCACCTGAATCGCACAAAAACAGACATCGCTACGTAAGGCGCAGCAACTGACGATAATGTCGGATAACTTTGGCGAAACCCGTCAACGGGCAACTCAGGAGCCAATTGTGGCGCGAACCGAGGCTGCCGTCCTCCCACGATTCCCATCAGACCGTGGGAGATGAAGATTCGCCCGATCGCAAAGTAGCTTGGAAACTCCCCAAATAATCTGCGGGAGCATCTGCAGCCGACCTTGCGGCAGCTGCGAGGGCTCCGCTCCTACACGGCGTGCATTGGCTCATCTTCTCCGCCGTGACACAACGGCTCGAGAGTCCACGATCCGCCTTGTGCCGGTCGAGCCCTCTGGCCCCGACTAACGGATGATGCTGTTCCGAGAACCCAAACTGCCCTTTTACCTCCCTTCGCTCAAGTCTGAACAAGAGCGATATTCGGTATCGGGTCCATTCACGCAGGTTAAAACGATAATAATGGAGGTAAATAGGGGAACGCCATCGATGGAGAGCAACCGCGCACCATTGCCGTTTGCGAGGTCGTTCTCCGCCAAAAAGAGTGCGTCTGCGAAGGAAGAATCCTCGATCAGGCCGAAAAGAAGAGCAGGAGATGCCTCACAGCGCTGGGAAAATGATACAGCGACCGAAAATGGCCGAGATCCGGGAGGAAAAGAACAGTTTGTGATCGGTGATGGCGGATGTCCTGCAATCTGGGCCCCGACGGGTGAGGAACTCCATGATCTGGCCCCTAGAGGCCAATGCTGTACGAGCAAGCAATGAAGCTGGCCTCGTAGTCAATCTCTCGTATTCCGATCGAGTCGTCGCAGTCGTGGCAGTAGCTGTCGCCATCGTCCGTAATTGTCGTTTTCGGCCTCTTCGGTATGTTTCGTTCGTCGTCCTCTCCCACACGCTCACCCTCGCGCCCACATCCAAACCGACGTCGAGGACAACCCGACGCCGGCGCCGTTTTTGTCTGCTGACGTTTGTGATCTGACTGCTAGTCGGGAACAAAACCTTCTGAGTTGACGGACGTACATTATTTCGTACAAAAATGTCACACGCAACCAGTCACTCACAGACAAGTATGAACACACGCTCACGTATATCAAGCACACCTCGATCGCATTGTTAGCTACGATTTTTCCCACGGCCTCTCAAGTTTTTCATGCATATGTCATCCGTGACCGGTCGGATCATCCAGGATTCCAAGCTGTAGAGTTTGAGCCGGCTGTAGGTAATATTCACACCTGTAGTGAGTGAGCTCTCTCTCTTTTATCGAAACAGATGTACCCCTCCCCGCCGTGCCGCCTCTCATCCCCCGTGTAATTGGCGAAAAATGTCCGGGCTCGAAAAAAAACAGGAGAGCTTGCCTCGCTCGAATCGGAGGACGTCTGTCATGCCCCGGCCCGAAAATAGCGAAGTAAGCCTGCGACGCTCCAACCTTTCTCGGAAGAGCTGACGGACAAGCATGGAAGTGCATCCTTGATTGATTGGATCACTGTATCGATCGATGCAGTGGATAAGAATCCAAGCGAGACTCCCTGTGACCGAATCCAAAACCGCTCTTCGACGAGCGATTCCCATCCCGGCAGCGCGTTTCCCTCCCAATGGGTTTTGTCCGGCTGTCGTCGGAATCTTTCCTCCAGAGTCTCTCGACCCGGAGAATGTTCCCAGCGCTCCGGAACTCTGCCCGGAAGGCAATTTATACTCGTGTCAGATCCTGATTGGCTTCATAAATCGGTGAGCTCGGCGATTAGGAGACCGATAACGAGAGAGGCGCCACGAGCTATCAAAGCAGCGGATGATGAACGAAGCAAATAATGAGAGTGTTCGACGAAGGCGCCTGACCTGAGAAAATGGTCGAGACAGGACTGCGGGAATCTCGCGGTGTACGGCCCGTGACGGCGCGGTTTGTTGCATAGTCTTCGTGCCTCTAGACATTCCGTCTGGATTCAGCACTGAGAACGCCTCCCTCGACTTCACGAATGCGAAATCTAAGCAGTCCCGCGCGTTGTCGAGTCAGACGACGACGACGACTGTTATGGAAACAGATCTAGGACGTCGGAAACGTTCGTAGGTACGTCGCGAGAAAAGAGCTACCAATCCATGAATCCGCTCACCGAGTCGCGTTTCTTGCGGCAGAGTGCCCGAATGATGTTCCTTTCGTAAACATATATGTACCGTAACAAAAGCAAGAAGCTATCACATTTGGAGCGAAGATGGCGCGGCTTGACCCGATCTTGTGGAACCGTATGCGAGAGAGGAAACCCCGAGTCTCAACGCGGCGATCTCAGAGACGAAAAAAGGCGAGGAAGAAAGAAAAAGCAAGTCCAGGAAAGAGAGCCTTCGAAAGAACAACGAACGGGCGAGCGCAACAACAACCGTCGCAACGGCTGGAAGCAAGGACCCGCAACGCGGTCAAGTGTGAGCAACTCTTGGGTATCGCAAGGTCGTCCGATCATTTGCGACCGGGCCGACTCTATCGCTGCGGCAACAGAAGGAGCAGTTCCTGAGCAGATGTTGGAGTTACTGCGGTCGTTCTTGCCGTGGAGGCTCTCTTCTTGCTGGCTGGCTGGCTTGCCAGTCAGCCTTCCTGCCAGCTCATTTGGCCTGCCTGCTCTTTCGCTTTCTCAGGCAGTGGTTGAAAACGGGGGATTGCTTCCGAGCTTCAGTCAGTGAGGCGAACAACTGACCATCGAAGCGATCAGCGTGACCTCTCGGTCAGTCAGCGACTGAGCGAGCGGGCGAGCGTCGGTCGGCGACGCGTCGTAGGTTTGCGGGAGAGAAAACCAAGGCTCCGCCGGATCTGCGATTTCTGGATGAACTTTGCCGGGTACGAGCTACCCGGGAGGGAATCCAGTCGACCAGAGAGTTTCCAGGCGATTCAATGAGGGTCGATCGATCAATTTCGTGGGAATGTCTGCATCGAATGATCGCCGTGCGACGCGCACTCTAAGCGATGATCGTTATTGCCCAAGAGACATTCGGTACTTTGTCACAATCAGGAGGCTGGCGCTTATAACGCGCATGCATCGCCATTATGCTCTGGACGCGTGAGGGAAATGTCTGCATGGAGGCATTATTTCCACAAATTCCTGCGGGAACAGCATCGTAATTCAGCAAACAGAGAGCTGCGGCGTAGAGAGGTAGATAATTAGGTCGGAGAACCGAAGTCGGTCCGCACGGCCGTCTTTCATCGCCCCTGTGAGTCTCGCTCGGCGTAAACGTTTCAAAAATATCAGCGTTTTGCAGCAGCAGCGGCCGTCGCAGCAGCAGCTGGTGAGGGAGGAGAAGACGGTGGAGAAGAGCCCAAGGGCGACGATAGCGAAAGTTAATTTCGTCTACAAATTCTCCTCTCCGAGCAAACAGCCGGATGGCTTACCGAGCGAGTAAACGAGCGAGCAACCATCCAACCGACCGACCGACAGACTGAGCTCAGGGCAACTGAACGGAATGTTTCTACAGAGTTTCTCCTGTTCCCCGACCGAGCGTTTCCGTTCTTGCGGACCGGACTCGCCCCGTCCGAATTCCTCCTCGAGCGCGTGAACGAGAGCCTACAATATAAGCATATTGATTGAGAGCTTCGATCTTCCTGTAATGAATTATTGTAACTGCGAAGATCGACCCAGAGTCGTTCCTCTGACGCTCACAATCAGTAACGCTCAGTAACGAACTCGAGATGGGGAGCTGGACAGATTAGCGGCTCTAGTTTTCTCTTCTCTGAGTCGGCGTCCGAACGCTCGGTTATTCGAGTTTTTGTGCCGTTTTGACTTCGAGTTTTCACTATATGTATAGAGGACCTCAGCTCCATAGGAGTCAGGCTGAACAAACGCCTCTCACTTCATTACAATCCAGACATCGAACGGGAAGCTCGTCCCCTCTGAACGTTTGCCATTCTCGTCGAATAGCGCATTCCCTTCTGTCATTATTGTGTGGCAATTTATTGAGATTCTGTTTGTGTTGAATATTGAGCAATGAGTTGCCGTGATGGAACCGAGTTGGAACCGGTATCGGTACTGGTACAGGTATCGGGGATCAGTGTCGTCTATCGCAACAAGCGTCCTCCCATCCCTTTTCGCTTACTTAGCTGAAGTAACCTCGATGACGTTGTTTTTTCGTACGCCATTTACACGTTAGAATCCGTACGTACGTCCGACGGAAATTGGCGTTGCATAACGCGTAGCACAAGGGGTTGACTGTGCTGTTTATGTAACAGAGACAATAGGCGAAGTTCCACAGACCCTGGGGTATGCAGTCATTGTCGTCGTCGCATGGACTGAGCGTTTTGATTAGCACGAGAACGTTGTACGGTGTCCAAGTCACTATGAACGCCAGAAGAATCGCAGATAGTGTTTTGGCTGCCTTCCTTTCGGCTTTGCGTTCCTGATGTTTCCGTTTCTTCTTCGGCAGGCGTTTAGTCGTCTGCTGAGCGACGAGCTTCGTGTTCAGCAGGAGAGGTTCGCGTGAAGGCGCGTTACTCGACGCCGACTTGCTGCGAGGAATCGGTTTCGTCGATTGGCACGGAGGTGGACCGTCGTCCTCGAGAATCATTCGGATCGAAGCCTGGGACATTTCCCCGTCGAGATCGACGCTCGTCTGAGTTGGCAGTCGGATGAGAATCGTATAAACCGAGTCGCTCGAGAACGAACGGGTCGAGGTTTGATGCTGCCTGTCAGTTAGAGGGATGTTCTGTAGCGGCTTGTACTGCATGCTATCAGCTCTAATGGGCGTTTCTGCCGAGGTCGGTGTTTGGGCATTAGGCGAGCCGTGGCTCGAACACGAGTCATCGTCGTGCAGTTTGTCGCTGCGACACCAAGCGAAAAGCACGTCCCTGAGGCTTCTGCGTGGCTTGTTAGAGGCCGAACGTGAATTACTCGCCCGGAGGTTTGCGGCCGCCGACGAGTCCATTGCCGAAGACGATGGGAGATACCGACCGGATTCCAGACACAGGGTGCTCGCTGTTCTGTTATTGTGATCGAGCCCTCCTCCTGCGTCTAATTGATTGAAGTTGCCCCCACCGCCTCCTGCCAGCTCGCCTGACTTGTTCCGTCGGCAGCCACTGGACGAAGGCATGCCCTTGCCCGCTTGGAGATGTGTCAGATCGCGTTGACGTTTTTCGGTTTCCTGCCAAATCCGCCAGTAGAGTATACACATAACACACACTGGAATGTAGAAGGCGGCTAGCGCCGTGCCGAACGTGACGTAAATGTTCGTTTCGAAGAACTGGATATAGCATTGGCCTTCGGGCACGGATCGTTTTCCCTCGATGTACGGCCAGGCGTAGATCCACGGAGGCCACAACAACAATGATATCACCCACGCAATGGCAATCCAACGGGCGGAACGTCTCGTTGTGCGAAACGCTCGATACGTTAACGGACGCGTCACCGAAAAATATCTATCGAACGAAATTATCAACAGATTTAGCACTGACGCATTACTCGTAAGGTAGTCCCACGCTAGCCAGGTGTCACACATGAAAGGACCTAGATACCAGTAGTTGTAGAGCATGTAGTACGTCGACAAGGGCATCGAAATGATCCCTATCGAGAAATCGGCTATCGCCAAACTCAAGAGAAAGTAATTCGATATCGTCTGAAGCTGCTTGTCCATCTTGATGCTGATCATCACCATGAGGTTGCCTACGATGGTGATTATGGAGAAAAACGCTCCCATGAACGCGATCAGGATGAATTCGAGGTTTGTGTGTAACGCATCGTTCGTCGCAGATCCCGTGATGTTGGCCCCCATCGTTCCCGCCATCGTGTCGTTAAAAACGCTGAGCAACGTTGTCGTGACGACGCCGCCGTCACCGCCGACTCCGCTGTCGTTGTTCGCCGCTTGAACAACATTGTCAAGGTTGACTTGCAAAATTGTGTAATTCAGAGCTTTTTCCCAGATTTTAGGACCGGAGTTGTAGAACGCCGCCGGAGTGCTCGTTTCCGGTGTAACCGGCGCAACGCTTCCACTCAGCAGCAACGGGGGATTTGTCGAGGCCATTACGCCCCGTCGGTGGAGCTAAGTTGAACTCATCCGAGAGGTGGCCGCACTCCTAACATCAGTCGTACGGGACCCATCGGCAGTCGCTCAACTCCGGAGTCTAGCTGTGCCGAAGCGTCCTCCGTCCCGGAACCGGATGAAACTGAAAAGAAGAGGAACCTGTCAGCATTTTTGTGCGATATTGGCGACCGTCGCCTAGCTGATCCACCATTCACGGTATGCGAAATTTCGACAAGATTTCAATATCCGCATAGAGGGAACCATTTCCCCCTCCCCGAAACAGATTGTCAGAGCGGAAGGTGCTCATTCACTTGATTTTAAGCGATGCTTTCCGCGAAGCGTAATTTGGAACGTAAACCGACTACATAACAACGGTACCGTGAAGACCCTGCCGCGTCGGCACGGACGTGAAGAAGAACCGCAACACGAGCTCCCGGCAGAGTAGAACTCGTGGTGTCGCCACATTTCACGAGCACAGCCTCGATACGCGTTCACGTACTCCCTTTTCCTTGATTACGAGCAGCCTGTGCCAACGTATCCGAACGAAAGTTGGCGGACACTGTGGTATGAGACTAGAATTCGTATCGCCGGTATGAGACTAGAATTCACCCGAACTCGTGAAGGATCCGAAACGCTTGGGCTCTTCCCGTACCGAGGCTGACGGTTCGGTGGACAGGCAGTCAGTCAGTTCGTCAGTCAGCAAGCCATGCGGCCCGTGAGGCAGCTGGTTGGCACGCGGAGCGAAGAGCGAGGCTTTCGTTTGATATACGACGCTTCGTCGGGAAGCCCGTGCAGCTTTCGGAGGCAGCTCGAAGGCGGGTGCTGTTTTCGTCGACGACGAGAACCACGCAGGCTCGACGTGGACGTCGCCTTCTCTCGTTACGGCGCGGTTCCCCCATGCCCGTAGAGCTATGTCAGCTTCCCCGATATTCCCTGCTCCGGTTCTCTCCGAAGTTGATTTTGCCCCATGGTCCCCCTCCTCCACTTTGTCAACCGCCTGCTGCAAGCGTCCAGCGTGTTTGCAGTCGAGCGAACAGCTTCCCATGGAAGGTTTTAATACCTAAAAGAGAACGACGATACTATCGGTCGGTCCTTGTTTCTTTCAGAAGGTCCGGGATCGGCGGACGAAGAGCAAACACAAGCAAATGGTGAAACGACTGGTGAGCCTTTCTTCCCGACGTATTTGCTATCGCAGACCAAGAGCTCTAAGAACTGGACGACGATCGAGGGCAGCCATCGTTCCCTTGACTCCGACCCAGCGAACCAAGAAACCAATCTCACCATTCACTCACTCAGCAGCGAGCTAGGCGAACCGACTGAATAAGAGAAGGCCGGCCGGCCCGCCGGCCTGTCAGCTGGCTGTCCAGTCAGTTTGGTGGCTATTCAAGCGAGAGAAACAGACGGACGAGAAACAATAAACCGAAAATCGACGATCGCACGGCACAACTGTGAACACGACTGACTGGGTAAACTCCCTCGGAGAATTCTACCAGAGAGCGCCCAGTTTGCGTATAACGCTTTTGTTAGCAATCAGAATAACGAGGCATAGGGCATCGAGGCTAAAATGGCAGAACTCGGAAAGGGATCCTCGAGCCGATGACGGACCCACAGGTCGGGACGAATTGCTTCGCGCATGCTTGAGCCCATAGCACGCACTGCGACGCAGATTCGCCTTCCGACCCTTCGCTGTTTCTCTCAAGTCAGACAACAGGCCGACACGTAGACGGAAACAAGACGAAGGGAAGAACAGAAAGAAAAGAAAGGAAGAAAACAAGAGAGGGACAGGCGACCGATCAGACGTTCAGACAGATGGATAATGGTAGCAGCTAAAGTAATCTTTCTCTCCCAACGCCGTTTACTGCTGGCGAGCCCACTGCACCGAAGGACGCAAAGGGAAAGAAGAAGGGATACAACGAGACCGTAGCAGCAGCTTTATGTGCGCGGGATTGCGTCTGCAGTAAGGAAAGGTTTAACGATTGTAGGATCGTAACCACGAACGGCAGCAGGCGTTATGTTTCAGCAACATCAACAAGTTCAAACGGCGAGCCCTCCGGTCAAGCTGTAGGCGGACATGTTTTTGTAGCTGACTTTGAGTCAACTAGTTAGCCTGCTAGCGCGACGGCAAGCTTACTCGAGCCTACGGAGGGATGTAGGGACGGCCGCCCGGCCGGCCAGTCGCCTGCTCGGAAAGCCACCGAGTGGTGGAGGGGGATTAGCTCAAGTTTGCTACGGAAAAAATCTGCGGACCCGTCCAGTGGCCGTGGTGGCGGGCGGGCGGACGGTCGGTCGGTCAGGTCGGCTGCCACTGCGTCGGTCAGGGAAGATCTTAGTTCCCAAACGACCCACCTACGTAGCTCGACGTCCACTGGCGGCCCATAGGTCGGCAGGCTGGCCAACCTCATCGGACAGTTCTGCGGTCGATGGCCGAGAAAAGCCGCTCCTGGGACCGTGCTTACCGGCTTTCTCGGTTGCTCTCCTGTAGGGTCGGCACGACAGCGCGAAGGACGAATCGGTTTGAGCCGTCTACTGGTCGGCTAGCCGGCCTATTCGCCTCTCTTATGTCGTTTCCGGCCTACCTCATTCTTTCACCCGGACAGCAGACCGGTTGTTTCCGTGACCACCGGTAAGGAGACATCCCCGACGTGCTCGGCCGTGCGCATCTCCGTTCGATTGATTTGCCTTGGTCATTTCTCATCGGAACTCATCAGTTTAACGCCTTCTCTCGGGGTCCCGGCCGACCTCGATGAGCTAGGGTTCGACGTGGAATCGCGGATGGAATGAATGCTTGGACCGCGCATGCCTTGCGAAAATGATCTGGACTAGAAATTATTATCGGTCGATCTGAGCGACAGTTGCACAGCTCCCTCGACTGGCAGTAGTCTGATGTGCGTTAGACCTGTGGGCTTGCGCAGTCGTGTGAACTTACTTGACAGTGACCAGTCGGTAGCTCCGCTCGACACCGCCGAGAACGGTAAACATTCTTCCTGCGAGTTTGCACTTCGCAGATTACCAATGATCGATGGGGTTCGCAGCGGAGCGCGGGGCCTGCGATCGTACTTCGCACACTGGAAGACCTCGTTCGGGATCGAGTATTTTCCCTACGCCTTTTTCCGACCAAACAAGCCTATCTTCGCTCTCCCACCTGATGTTTCGGTTCGAGACTTCGATCGAGCGGGCGTCTTCTCAGGTCAGAGTTGGAGCTTCGGATCGACGCTACCGATATCTCAAAATTCGCGGTCGAATGTAGGTGCCCATTCCCCTCGCTATTCGGTGTTCGATTCCTCAATTTCTCCAATTTTATTTCAAGCCCAGATCGAATGGAGGATAAACGGCAGCGTAATTGTTGTAAATGAAGCCGATGTGAGTCCAATACTGGTCCAAATTTTCCGAGAATCTCGCTTATTGCACGTGTTGCACTTGGAACAAAAGAGCAACAACCATGTGGAGATCATCTGTTGGCTTGGCTTCTCAAAAGGAACGCCGCGCCCCGATTTCGATTCATCAGAATTCGGTCGTCTGCGCGGTACAGGAGCTAAGACACCGAGTGTTTTCCATTCTTACTCCAAGTTTACTCTTGCGCTCCCGATCGATATCTTCGCTCCGGTTGCGTTCGAAATTCTCGTCAAGCCTCCTCCACCCCCATATACTTCTTCTCCGTGGACATCAAAGCCTTGAGAAGCTCGGACTTGTCCCCGACGTTCAACAGTGAACTTGAGGAAAACAATGATCTCTCAAAAAAGCGGAGAAGTCCTCTTGGAAAGATGTTGGGAAGCGCGGAAAAACGAGGATAACACATAGCTAGACGGCTCATCCGAGGTCTCGGAATATATTACCAACAACCACATCTGGCACAACAGACAACCGTGTTGTCGACGGAACAAAGCAACTGTCAGGTTGCTCCGGGGAATACTTGACGTTAATGAAGACGCACTGTACATCGCGTTTCCTACCTTCATTTCGGCTGCGGGGATAACCGGTTGGATATCCATGGTCGGAGCATACGACTGATACTCCCCTTAAATGCCGTCGGCCATCGGACGGGCTTCCCGAGAGGATGACGACGAGCGAGGGGGCGTCGTGTGCTGCCACGACGTTAAGGAACGGATATTCCGCGGCAGCCAGAGTTGTGAAATCGTTTTTGTCTCTGCTCGACGCGATCGGTTCTGGATAAACTGCTCCGATTCTCATTACTGTTCCGGCATCCGATGGTTCGTCTGTCCAGTGGCTCGTCGATTCTTCCATCCGTTCTCAGAGAGATTCATTAACATGGATAGCTTCTCTCTCTTCTCTTATTCTGTCGGTTCGTATCGGCATTTTTGGGGTTCGGCACGAGGGAATTTATTTGGGAAACAATAAAAACGCGAGCGAGAGAAGACCATACAACAGACAGAAGAACAGGGCCCTCCAAGGCCTGGATGCTTCACCGACCGCTCGTCCGTCCGAGCGACCAAACGACCGACCGCCTCGCTCGAGGATTGTTTCGGCGGACGGATCGTCGAGAGAGACGGCGAACAAAGAGACGTACGGACGAACGAACGAAGTGGGAGCAGCATCTCATGCGGCGAGAAAAGGCGTGGGCGACAACGGCACCGGGTCGGCGGCTGCGCGCAGCACGCTGTGCACCATCCCTATGGAATCGAATGCCGATTTCTGATTATTTCCGTTCTCCCTCCGTCGTTCATCGGTCCGTCCGAGCATCGAACCGCGACCGCACGTAAGTACGACTACCCGAATTCGATCGGTCGGCGAACCTCCTCGAGAACCTCTCCGCTTCCGACTCCGCTTCCCAATCGTGACCCCAGTGTCCTCTCGGATAACGACTCAGCACTTGTGTCCCGTTTGACTCGGCCGCCGCGTGAACCGGCCGTATCACTTTGACGTTTACGTCGTTACCGAGGAGAGGTCCGTCAAACCCCACTTGTTCCTCGGTCCGGCCGAGTTGTCAGTGGAGCTGTGCGGCCTCTAACTCCCTTGTTGAACGAATTAAAACTTCGTTCAGC